GGGTCAGGAGTACATAAGAAACCTTCCAGTAGGGACACCTGCTCCAGTTACAACTGGCAAAGAGGGGATTTACCTTACTTGGGAGAGATCTATGCTCACTTCCTGTTACATTATGGGACAGAAAGTGAAAGAAAATCTACCCAATAGGACACATACAGTAATAGAAAAAAAAAAATATATAATGTCGCAAGAATTTTAAACATTCCTTACTCTATCCAAAACTTAAAGAAGTGTTTATGGGTAATGGGTCCATAAAAACATGCAAACAAAGCTCCTCTGTTAGGACTTGTCATGTCCATTACCATGTGAGTGCAATTTTACCTATATTAAATTTTGTTATTGAGGATTTACACTGTGGAGCAATCCTTTTTTGCATGTTTAATGCCAGGAGCTTTGGTCTCATACAATTTATCTGGAGAGGTTAAAGCCACCTTATTTAGGGATTAGCATAGGAGGACCATCAATATCTTTCTTTTGGGGATCCAGAGACGATTCCACCTGCCTGCCTTTCTGGTTGTTACATAACAAAAGCGTGACTAAACACTCTTAACAGGGGGTCATACTTTTCCAATAAGCCTTGTATGCAAATAGTTGGTTTCACATCAGCTATCCTTGAACGTGTTTCCTGTCTCATCACGGCATTTGGGGACTGTCCTTTGATTTGTTATATCACTATGAACATTTTGAATTATTATTTTCATATATTTTTATTTAAGCACTGCACTTTATTTGTACACTAACATGTATGATAACCATAATGACTAATGTATCTTCAGCTTATGACAGTTCCCACTAGGCTGTTTCTACCATCATTCAGCCAGTTTCCAGGACTCACTGCACTGCAGATCAAGCTTCACTGCTGGCCACTGGTAGCTGCTAGTCCCTGCCTCCTGGAAAACTTATGATAAGCTGGTAATTGCAATTACTTGTGTAAAAGTAACTGTATAGTACTGCACTCTCTGTGTCTGGTATTTTATCCTTTTGTTGTCCTAAATCGACTGCGGATTCTCCGTCTTGTCAAAGTGTGGGTGCAGGATCAATACCTATAAAGGAAAACTGATTTCTTTATTGATACACCTGTCACAATATGTGACTCTTTCCTTGCTGTATTTAAATATAAACTATATAAAACATTATTTCATATGCCCTTTGCAGCCAGCAGATGACAAGTGTGAGTTTGGTACTCCTGGGTTTCAGATAGCTGGTTGACTGCTGTGCTGAAAATATAGATCTGAATAGATGATCTCAAGGTTTACATACAGCTGACTGAGACAGCTGGATGACTCGGAACAGGGTCACACCCTAACCAATGTAGAAATTATGCCATCTAGATTTCCAGTCTGTAGAAGCAGTAGAGAAGTGACGACATGGTACCTGGCTTTCTTATTAGTAATCCCAGCAAACTGTGCACACACTGAAGCATTGATTAAATATGTATGAATAAAATCATTTTTTTAATACAGAAAATAAATAAATTGGAATCCTTTATGGTTTAAGGAGCAGGTTTAAGGATCAAGCTCAGAGACTGGAGGGTTGATTTACTAAAACTGGAGATTGCAAAATCTGGTGCAGCTGTCTATGGTAGCCAATCAGCTTCTACCTTATTATTATTATTATACAGGATTTATATAGTGCCAACAGTTTATGCAGTGCTTTACAACATAAGGGCAGACATTACAATACAATTTAATACAGGAGGGATCAGAGGGCCCTTCTTGTTAGAGCTTACAATCTAAGAGGGAGGGTCAACAGATAGAAAAGGTAAAAGGAAAAAATAAATATATTTTTCACATTAGATGAATGGCAGTACTACCAGCTAGGACATTTGTTGCAGAACTACCACAACCTCTGAGGACGCTGCAGGATATTTATGTGTTAGAAAAAATGTTGAGTTCAGACATAATACAGAAACATGTTAACTCCAGGATTTATAAGATCCTTACTGATCTGGAGGGTTCTGATCCTCTCCCATACTTAGAGAAGTGGGAAAAGGAGCTGGGAACAAAATTGAACGAGCAACAAAAAAATAAGATATTTAAATTAACACACGAAATGATGAACATGAACACATTTGAAATTAATTATAAGTGCTTAGCAAGATGGTATATCACACCAAGTGTGGCATATAAACAACAATTAGATGTCTCACCATTATGTTGGAGAGGGTGTGGGAATAAGGGAACAATGGCTCACATATGGTGGGATTGCCCTAAAATTCAGACGTTCTGGCAGGAAATAATTCAATATATAGAGGAGATATCGGGGACAATTGTACAGAGAGACCTGTGGGTGTGTATATTTTATAACACCAAGACTTCTGTGAAACAATATAGTGTATTATATCATCTAATTAGTGCGGCTAAAAGTCTTATCCCTAAATATTGTTTAACCCAAGAGTCCCCAAAAATAACGGAATGGATAAAGAGAGTCGAATACATATATAAGATGGAGGAGTTCTATCATATGAATGAGGACAAAATGGAAAAATTGAGCGAAGTGTGGAGTAGATGGTATGATTTTAAATCATCTGAAGGATATTGGGAAGTGATAGGAGCTTAAGGTAGGAAGAGTGGGGAGAGTTGGTAAGTGCAACTGAGTAGCTATGGAACTTTAGATGACGGAAGGATATAGACTTGGACAGGAAGATATTGGAAAGAATTTGGAATGTGGACCGGGGATATGGGTGGGTTGAAAATAAGGGTGGGTGGTGTAGGGAACAGGTAACAAGTATGTAGTGTTTATGTATTTAAGAATTGTTGGACATAATATGGATTTTTGTAATGAAAAAAAAATTTAATAAAAGATAAAATTTAAACAATAAAAACTAAAAGAGATACAAAAGGTAATAACTGTGGGGGATGAGCTGATGGAGAAAATAAGTGTACAGTTGTTAGGTGGGGGCAGGATAGGCCTCTCCAGTATAGGCCTCTCTGTAGAGATCAGTTTTCAGGGATCATCTAAAAGTGGACAGAGTAGGAGACACATTGGCGAAGGGAGTTCCAGAGGATGAGAGCCGCTCTGGAGAAGTCCTGGGGGCAAGCATGGGAGGAGGTGACAAGGGAGCTAGAGAGCAGAGGTCTTGGGAGGAAGGAAGAAAATGATTTAGTTGGTATTTTGAGAAAAAGTTATTAAGCTTTGACAAACTGGAAGCTGATTGGTTTCTATGCAGAGCTGCACCAGATTTTGCACTCTCCTTTTTCAGTAAACCAACCCCACGGTTCATTGTTGTTGATAATGTTACAAAAATGTTGTCATTAAATTATAATGAATTATAGGGTTTGTGAATGGTGAGCTGCGGCACAAAACAAACAAAATAGACAACTTCCCTTACAGCTTCCTTGTGACAAGATCATTCCATTGCAGGAAGACATATACATAATGTAACATCAAAGAAGACTGTCAGTTTCTTTGCCTATGGATCCTCTATGATTCACACCCACCTCTATCTCCAGATACCCCACCTACCCCTAATAAAACAAGACAGTAAAATTAATGCATTTGTCTTTATTTGTTCTTGTCTGATGGTGTAATTTTCTGTTTCATTGCATTACCACTGAATGAAACATCACATGGTATAAAGTGTACACGTACTGTAATGAGTTGGTTGTTACAAGGATAAATGCACAACATACACGCATTACTGGAAGGATTTTGGTAGTAATAAGGTATTTTAGGAGGTACTAGAGCCTTAACCTTGACACACCTCAATGAAGAGAAGGATGCCTCCTATATTGACCATTCAAAGGTCAAGTGTGAATCTACCACCAGTAAAGAGTGTTTTTAGTGTGTATTGTGTATTAATCTCTGTTCCCAGCACCTAAATGATGAACGTGGTATATCTTGTTATGTAACTGCTGTGCTATCATCATCACTGTATGTTTGAGGAAACAGAGTGACTTTTCAATGTGCTCATTTTAGCTATGTGTTCACATTTGTTTTGGTACCAAGTAGTTGTACAGAAACACATTGGTAAACAATTCTGAAAACCTAAGATGAACCGTGCAATGTGTAGATTTTTCCCATGGGCTGATCAGTTGTAGACAGCTAAAACATGGTCCCTGTGTCACCATTGGTATTGTATACTTTTTTGTTGCTATATCTAAGTGCAAATTTGTTAAAATGTATTACTATCAAGAGTAGTATATGAAAGAATGAAGTGCTCTGGATGAATGGCTGCAACAATACACTATGGAATGTTCAATGCCTGATGTTTGAAATTGTGCATCAACCATCTAACATGGTCATACAATGGAAATAGGTGGAGGAGTCAAACTTTTCATTAATTTGTTGTTCGGCCTAAAAAGTAAAGAGCTTTTAGCTGGTTTTATACTCTGATGGCAACTCTTTTTATTGCTGAGTATGTTACATCTGTCAGAATCCACAATTAAAGGGACTGTCAACCTCCAGTTCTTACATCTACTTCTACATCTACTGATATGTTTTATTATGAAACACCTGCTAAATTTTGTTCATATATACATAAAGTATATACATATATGTGTGTGTGTGTGTATATTTTTATATATATATATATATATATATATATATATATATATATATAGGGACCTGGTAAAACTTGGTTGGTTCTTAAAATTTGATCCACAATGCACATTTCTTAAAGCAATAAGAGTGGTATGAGTAAATGATTGTAATGTGAAAAGCTGGAATAAAAAAACTGTATTGTAACAGAGGTAACCAAGATTTGAAAAAGGTAGAAAAAGAGCACCTAACATCACATGAAGTGGACAATCCCTTTAATGTGCCATAATCCTTTCTTTTAACCATGGCTCTCTGTAATTGGCCTAGTTAACCTGTGACCCTCCAACCATTGTGGAACTAAGAAGGCCATGTGATATTAAGTATAACTGCATCCTCCTAAAGAAAATGTAATGACCATTTAGAAAACTAACATTAAAACAAACGTTCTAAGAGTGAATGGAAAAATGGCAAAATAGAAATTCTAACTTCTAACTAATTTGTAAAGTACTAGTTTTCTTTGTTTAAGGTTTAACATTAATTCCCTCATTTTGCTCTGGCTTTTCTATTATTTTGGTTGACACTACAGTTTCTTCAATGATTTCCTCATAGGTCCCCCCTTTGCGAGCTGATGATTTTGAGATGGTTTTGCTGGTGGAATCAGCTTCATCCCTCTTGGATGCTGCAGGTGTACTCTTAGAAGAGGAGGAACTATGAATGCGAGACTGGTAAGAATAGCTTTGAGAAGGATTTGGAGGCATGATGCTTATTCCGGAGGTGCTAAACCTGGTCTCTTCACCTTCCAGCAGTTTCCTAGAGATAGTGACATTGTGAGTTAGTAATGTTAATAAGAATACAATCCTACTCATTCATCTGACTTGCAGGAATATTAGTAACATTTGAATAATTAGAATTGACCATAAGCCTTAAAGTAATAAATGCATATGTGTTAGCAAGTAAAAGAATTTGAATTTATTTATCTTGCAGAGTATTGCACCCCTGATCTGCACATTGTGGGTACAATATCAGGTTCCTGCAGACTCTCAGGATAGCTGTCTGCCCATACCTCATATGGGCAGGCAGTTACTTAAGAGCAGGAAGATCAAGGAACTACCAGAGTGCTCTCCAGTGCCCTCTTAGTTCATTGAGAACTACATACACTATGGAATGTTCAATGCCTGATGTGTGTAATTGTGCATCATGCGTCTAACATGGTGCAATGTCAGGCTCCTGCAGACTCTCAGGATAACTGTCTGCCCATACCTCACATGGGCAAGCAGTTACTTAAGTGCAGGAAGATTAATGAACTACCAGAGCTCTCTCCAGTGCCCTCTTAGTTAATTGAGAACTACATGTAGTCAGCCGCAATGGCTGACGGTACTTGTAGTCCATTCATTCACTGGAAACTGTGCTGTTTTCAAATTGTGAGAGAGAGGATCCCCCACCAGCTGTCACAGGTAGGGGGGGATCGGGGGAGTGGGGATGCATGCTGAACATGTTACACTCTAAATATAGGGTGTAACATGTTCAGGAAGATGAACTTTAAAACAAGTAAAATTTACTAATGCATTCCATAAACATTGCCATCCATCATTCAGTTCTTTCAGTTTAGCTTTAAGGTTTAAATGCATTTTTTTTCATAATGCAATGTAACAAAATTAAGCAGGGTTTTCAGAGTGGTTTTGGGCAAGATTTAGTTCATGCAACTGGTGCTGATATGTAGCCAGATGTGAGAGGTAATACAACTCACTGCAAGCATTGCTACAAGTATGCATCTATGAGACTGCATTAAGGACATTGATATTTGTTTCTTTATTATCAGAATTTAGAATGGGTGGTCCTAGAGAGTTTCATAATTAGAATCGGTGCAAATAATAAACATTCTTAACATGGATACATTTGGGAACCTTGGACTCCTTGACCTGGGCAGCTGCAAACTTGGGGATGCCAAGTTCAAGGGATGCCATTAACCATGACCATAGGGATTTTATTGTAGCAGTAGAGGTGTGGGTATGCAGAAGCATTACTATGTTCAAATTTAGTACTGTTGTGTGTATTCTGTACTTTTTGTGGTTTCCATGCGTGCCAAATATTCAGTCTCAATGTTGTGTCCATTTACTGTTCTGTTTTCCCTTTTAATAACTAGGCCTTTGGCACATCTTACATTCTAAAGGCCTCTACATTTGAACACATCCTGTCTGTTGGAACACTAGTTGAACAGAAAACTATTATTTTAATAATACCCTTTCAAGTGGTCTTTGGTTGAATGGGGGTTGATTTACTAAAGGCAAATAGTCTGTTGACTTTTCAAGTGCAGTTGCGCTCTGCAAGGGAGTTATCCCCAGATCTTAGTGAATGAGATGAAAGCTCTGCTGATTTCCATCATCCAATCATGTGCAAAGGTTTTTTTTATTTTTTGTGCATGTGATTGGCTATTCTTTGCAAAGTGAGCTTCACTGCATGCACTAAGCATTCCCTTGCAGAGAGAAACTTCACTTGCAAAGTGTAAGGTGTATTTATCTTTAGTAAATCAACCCCATGGTTTCTATTATCATCTGTTTAGGTGAGCCAACATGCACAGACCGATTAAGTGCATTTGCAGTCTTTTTGACCATGTAGTTTCCCTTTGGTTCCTGCGATAGTGCTGCTGCAGGGGGGTGCCATTCACAATGAATGGCACCCCTGCGTGTGGACTCTTTTAAATATGAGTGTATTGGAATATTATTTTAATAAAGTCGGTTTTATGTGGCAATACTTCACTATATGGAGCATTTTTTTCATATGTTTGTGGAGTGTTCTGGAGATTTTTAGTGCTGATGGTGGTGAAGATCTTAGCACCAATATACCCTCCCGGGTTAAAGGGAAAAGCGTAGTATGACCTGGTATTACGGGTCAAACTTGAAGGTGAGCGCAACAGTGTGTCAGAGGTGGATGAGCACTAAGGGATGACACAGGAGCACCTTACAAGTGTATACAGTAGCATGATCACACAGACCCACCTGGAGTACAGCGGATTTAAAGGGATGGTTCACCATTATTTTGAAACTATAATTTTGGGACAATTATTGATGGTATATTTGGTATATGATGCACAGGAGATATACCGCACAAGCACATGTGAAGATATTGGAGTTTTAAAGGGACAGTTCGATATTTAGAACGGTTCATTTGATATCTGTGTACACTATTCATTTTGCACTGTTATATGCAGTTTTATGGGTATTTATATGTATGTGTTGATATATATTCGATGCAGCACATATTATTGCCAAGAAGCACAATTTTTGTGTTCACTATTCGTTTATGCATGTTGGATATTAGTAGCACCGCATTTGAGTTTATGGTATTACGCTGCATTTTTTTTTATGTATAGTTTACATGTGGGAACACATTACATGCTAGCTGCAATATTTGTCTCGTAGGAGGTCCATTGTGCTGAGGGTTTTTTTCATACACATACCAGGCCACATGCCCTCAACATGGGGAAGGGGTGCTTTGGGGCGGGGAGGGGTGCTTTGGGGTGGGGGGGGGGGCTCCGGTCTTGCCCCAGTCGATGTCACATGGGGCAAGGTCACACACGTGATGCCACCGGTAGTCCCGCTCCTTACATATTTAAGAACTATCAAGCCAGCAGAGCAGTTAGATGGCAGGAGCCAGCGTCGGGAGCAGAACCTTTTTTTTTTCTTTTTTCAGGTTGGCAGCGGGCATCGTGATCAACGTTGAATCTACATTCTTTTATTTTCCTTCTTTTAATAAAGGACTTGTCAAAGACAGTCTCCTGTCTGTTTTCACACTACAGTTTTTTTCTGTGAATGGGTAGTGGTACCATGTACCCCATACTCATTCACATGTGGGGGGTGGGATCTGGGGGCCCCCTTGCTAAAAGGGGCTTCCAGGTTCCAATAAGCCCCCCGCCTGCAGCCCCCCACACAATCACAGGCCAGGGTTGTGGGGAAGAGGTCCTTGTCCCCATCAACATGGGGAGAAGGTGCTTTGGGGGGGAACCCCCCTGCCCAAAGCACCCTCCCATGTTGAGAGCATATGGCCTGGTATGGTTCGGGGGGGGGGGTGCTCGCTCCTCCCCCCCTTTCCTGACCTGCCGGGCTGCATGCTCATATAAGGGTCTGGAATGGATATTGGGGGGACCCCCACGCCATTTTTTTTTTTTTTACAGTTTGGCATGGGGGTTCCCCTCTGAATCCATACCAGACCCAAAGGGCTTGGTATGGATGGAGGGGGAACCCCATGCCTTTTTTTAATTAGTGGCAATTTTTTCTTTTACATTCAGCTGTCAGTGGGAAACCCCGCTGACAGCTGAAACATTAACGCATGGTTCTCACTAATACAATACAGCATGACTTGATAAAAATAACTCATGTGGTATTTCGGTAGCGTTTTTTATTGAATTCAAACGTTTTTTTTAAATGCTGTGCGGTATCCTACCGCATACTCGGATGCGGTAAGATACCACTTAGTGAATTGTGCCCAATGACTTTATATAAAGAATCATCTCAGTGTCTTTGTTTGGGGAGTGAGCTCAAATAAATATGGCAATGCCATGGAAAGTTAATAGAAAGGTATTCGACATATATCAATAACTATGTAAACCACCAGTTGCTGCTTGTTCATACAACACCAGATTCCTATGAAGGAAGCATGTGAGTGGATTTACCCAGTGTCCCAGATTTTATCAATAATTGTGACTTATCTCAAAGCTCATACGCTAGATTGTACAAGGGAAGGCTAGCATTCACCAGTTGTTTGCATTCAGTTAGAGAGTGAGTGTGGTCCTTTTCATTTCAATAGTATGACCTTCTTGTCATAAAAATATAGGGTTCACAAATTGTCATATTTAGGTATTTATAGGAGATCCAGTATACCAAGAAGGCAGTTGTTGGGGTTACAAATATTAGGGAGCCCTGAAGCAGTTAGGATGAAGTTATATACTCCCATTCAGAATTCTTGGACATAGTGACAAGTCCAAAAAAGTCAGTTGTAAACCTAATTCATATAATCTGTCCAGTGTGTAACGAGGCTGATTCAATAATTTTATTTCAGGATATTTCATTTGACTTGGAATGAATGGTACTCCTGCTTGGTTTGAATACAACTTGCACTGAGCGGAGGTTCTCATTTAATAAAAGCAGTTGATGTAGTTGTACTGCAAGGCCTTGTAGATCTTTTACATAATTTAGCTTCAATGTAAATTATGTTTAGATTATGTTCCTATCATATAGACTAATTGAACAACACAAAAAGTTTGTGAAATACAAAATTATAAATTCAATCATGTCTCATACATCTTTGTTTTCCGCCTTTGTAAAATTCCTGTGTGAATGGGAGCCAAAATAGGCCCCACGGATCCTTGTTAATGAAAGCACCTGAACCACACTTACTTGCTGTGCCCCTTCTAATTTTTCCTATATCCCATTCATAATCATCTTTCTAGCCATAGTCACATGACTTTCTATTCTTCATTTCCACCTCCTCTATTTTAGTCAGGGGGACGAGTAATACAGTGCACACGTGATGTAAAACACAAATGTTCTAAGACTACATGTCCCAGGAGGCATAGCACCTTCTTCAGTCAGAGCAGTGTGTGTAGAAGCAGCATCAGTCAGCATTGTTTAGCACTTCACACAACAGTAATGCCCATGCATTACATTGCCAATGTGATGACAACATACAATAGAGATGCTGGGAGTGTTTCTTTGAAGGCCTGTGTGGCCAGGAAGAGGCTACTTAACAATGGGCATCCTGGAGCTGAGAAGAAAATTAGTGGTATGAACTATAAAGTAGCATCCATCTAGGTGAGGCTGGAGTTTGGCATTAAAGCTCATGCTAAATGCAGGCCTATGCAGATGCATATATGGAACATCAACACACATGAGCTCTCAGCTCCAAACTAAAGTCAGCATGGGCTGCCATGCCTATTGGCTTGAAGCTGAAGATTTCTTTCTCTTTAGTGCCTTCAATCGTGAGCCCTGATGCAAGACATCGCATAGCCCCAAAGCTCAACATCATCTTTTTTGTAGGTAATTTGAAGCAGTGTATTTTACTAAAATATTTCCCTGTGTTATATTTCAATACTAACATTAATATACTAAAAAATACAAGCATCTTTGTTACCTGTATGCTGCAATCTCAATGTCTAGGGCCATCTTAACATTCAGCAGATCCTGATACTCTCTCAGATGACGGGCCATCTCTCCCTTTATGCTCCTCAGCTCATTCTCCAGCTGATTGATGGTGTCCTGTAATTAGGAAATGTAATTTCATTTGTCACATACATCTAGACATTCATTGATTTAGGCTATATTCCCATGGTTGTAATTTCTTTTATAATGGGCACTGTAACCTTCATTATTTATGTGTCACTGGTGTGGTCACTAATATCAATATTTTCTTGGTTTAATTCACAGCATAGTTACAGAGACAAATCACCATATTATTGCTTTTATGTTGAAAGTTCTGTGCTAAAAGTCCAGAAATGTAGTGAAATCTCGGAATGAAACCTTAAATAGTCCACGTTTGTCATTTACTGCAAGGTGTAACTATAAATCAGTGGCCTTCAAAGCAAAATTACTGTAGGGTAACATGGTTTCCAACCTCTTCCTTAACAGAAGTCTCACTACTGACACCTCTACAGTTTTAAACCAAAAGCTAGCACTGTAGAATGTTGATTAACGTTATAGAAGATTAAATGAAGTGCCTAAAGCATGTATCTATTAATTTTATCTGAAGCTAATTTCCATTGTTGCCTGGAGTAATCATTATTTAGCCAAGTTGTACAGGCTCCCTGTGCTGTCCTGACTGTAGTTATACCCCTGCAGGGATTCCTACCCAAAATCCAGGCCATGCCAATTAGTTAATTGGTCTCTACCTTAATTGGTCTTACTGCATATAGCATACAGCAGCTTTTCTCAACCAGGGTTCCATGGAACATTAGTGTTTCTCTAGAGGTCTCCAGTGGTTCCTTGAGCAATGAGCAATTTATGCCTCCAAGATAAGTTGCCATTGACATCAATGGTCTTTTCAGCTATCTATAAAGAAGGAAATTCTTCCCAGTGACCACAAGTGTACTAGGGACCCTCACAAGGTGGCAGTTCTTCTTGGACTGGGACCCGGTCAAGGGTTTACATTTCCAAAGACATCATTTTGACGGAGCACTACAATTTTATTGTGATTTACTGGTTATTAATATTTTTGTTTCATTTAAATAATATTACTGAAAATAATATTTTCTCATAAAGCTGCCCTGGGTGTCAAATACATTAAGTATGCAAAATTCCTTTATTCATAGATCTACAACTTACTGTTTATGCTAATGTCTCATAAGCTGTAGATATAATAAATATTATCTGGGTTACTCCATGTTACATAGGCTGAGAAAGGCTGGTGTATAGGAACCAGCATATAATGCCTGAAAATTCTTCTTCTGGCCAAGTCCAGTTGTAAGACTTGTGTACTGTGTTTCCTGGGGAAAGATAATATGTACTGCACAGTGAAGAAAGAGAAGAAAGCCAACGTGCCAGATAGTACAGATAGTGCAGTACAATACTGGGGATAGGAAGGTGTCATATAGATTGGAGGGGTTGTAGATAAAATAAACCACTGTAGCTATGTATAAAGAAAATGACAATGATACAAAACAATCATAAGTAGTACAGAAGGCATCCAAAGGATAAAGTGCCCCTTTTTTTTAACAATCCAAAGGTCTAGTTCAGCCTGCTATAGTGCACTGATACTTTCCATTTTGTGTTGCATTAGGCACAATTGTGTGTGTGTGTGTGTGTGTATGTATGTATATATGTGTGTGTGTGTATATATGTATGTATATATATATATATATATATATATATATATATATATATATATAAAATCACTTTTACCTTTTGGGTAAATTGTCAAGGTAGTGTGAAAAATGTATTATTGGCACTAAAAAAATCTTGTTGTCTATTGATATGGTACATGCTCTATGATCTATTCCCCTTGTCAAATTAGGTCACATTCAAGCCACAGTGTGCACAAGTATTAATATGTGTATCTTCTATCTTTCACAGCTTGAGGGATCTCTCCATATAGATCCATTCTGATAATAAGTGCTAATCTATTCAGTTGTGAAGTACCATTCACACTGCTTCATTAAACAGGTACATTGTTTTTTCAAATTTCCCAGGCCAATTTGCTTTAGAAATCCAAAAAGTCATATGCTTATCTTATACTTTTAGGACCATCTATGTGTTACTGTGGTTTGAACATTACCATTGCTGTTTACATTGTTTAGTTACATAAGGTGGAATACTCAGCAGAATATCATTAATATTTTTTTTCAATAGCTGTTTAAGATAGATGGATAGATACATTGATAGGTAGATAGAAACACAGAGATATTTTACAACATCTACTGCTAAACACCTGCTTCATTTTACAGCAGTCAATAATCATCAGCAACACTTAAATACTAAACAAATTATTTGAACCTTCCACATCTTTTGAAAGTGCACCAACAGTGATGGTTTAAAAAGCAAATACTCAACAGCAAGATTGTTAATGTGCTTTTTGCTGTGTACTACTGAAACTTACATCAACTGTCATATCCTGTAATGTATGTATTTAATTACATTACATTCAATAGCTGAAGATGTAGGTGCACTTCTGTGTCAATTTAAAGAAGGGTGACCTCAATCTGCCCATTGGATTGTGTACTTCCATTGCAATCTTCTGAATGACATAATAAGTAGTTCAACTCAGTAGTTCAAAATTAGAAATTTTGCAAATACAAGTAAGTAATAATATTTCCCTATACTTGGAAATTAGATTACATTTGTTATGAAAGCATTTTACTTAGTATTTAATGTTCTAATAAACTTAAGAGGAACAAGGTGCCACTCCCTATCCAAAGATGGCGATTGAAGTTAAAATGGGTGGATCCCAGTCCATTATCAGACTGCTGCTAAAATAATCTCCCTTCCAATGGAAATAAACATTATTTTTGGTATACTGTTGTCCGTAACTACCATAAATACATGTATATTGTAGTAATCTTCATTTTTGAGTGTGGTTATGTCTTGATGTTTCTCGTTATACCTTTGTATACACATTTTCCATGAAATCCTATAAACTTTAAAATGTGTTTTGATATTTTGGACTGCCTTTTTTCAATTTTAACAATGATAAGAATCTGCTGCTTCTATTCTTAACTTTCTGGTTTAATTTTAAAGCCATCAGAGATATATATCCTTGCATAAGCTCTTCTGTATATGTGTGCATATAAATATGAATTGCACTTGGTGCATTGATTTTATTCCATAATTAATTGCTTAACATGATGTTAAATATCCTATGCATTCTTATGTTTAAACAGCTAGGATAATTTATTAGTATCATTCTGCCAACATAGAGTATAATAAAGATGCCATCAAAAGCCTGTCACTTTAAAAGCATATTACACTAATCAGTCTTCAGCGCTCATTCTAGTTTGTATGGTTTGAAAAGCTCCCTTGATAGTTGGATGAAGAGTCTTTGTTAGAGCTGCCACTCCCTAATCCCCCTCCCCTTCTCCTTGGAGATCTTTACTTCCCATGTACCACAAAGTGCTTTAATGAAACCGTTACATAAGGATGCTCATATATAATGCATTAAATGCGCCTTTCATTGTTGGATTAAAGAGGATCTCATGAAATTATTATAGTAACAATAGAAAAAATATATAAGAAATAGTTATTACTAATTATATTAAATATATTTTGTAGTTTTAGCTTTTTGATTATAGCGATGAGATCACCCTTAGCCTGGATGTGCCTACATAGAGTTTCAGCACCATGGACAGGGACCAGCATCCCAGCAGTCTATGGATACTGGAAGATACTCCAGGCTGTTTGGAACACAAATTCAGATAAACTCTACACTGAATTCAAAGTGTTATAAACTCTAACAATACATTTCGCTGATTTGCTCCCTTTTGGTCTGCTGAATATACCATTAAACGTGTATTAAAATATCTGTTTGACAACTGCAGAAATAATAGTTGTTCATCCAGATGGAAATCTGATAACTCCCTGCGCTTACTCTGGACTGTTAACAGAATAATTGGTCCCTGCTATTTCCTTAGTCTACTACCCCCACCCCCCTTTGAAAAAGAGAGGGGGAGGGGTTATGTAGTTCTAACACAATGTTTTACATCGTATGCAGTAATACAGTACAAACGCATATGAGAAAAAATGTATTTCAATGAGCCTAGTTTACACCATTGCAGCGATATCACGTTTCAAAAAAGTATAGAAGGCTACAGTTTCCGCATGTGAATGCACCAGAATGTATATAAAACACAGAAAATGCATGTAAATGAATAAAAGAAAGATATAACTGCAAAACCACATACTGAACGCAGGGATTGCGGTGTAAATGAGCTCTTTAAGGTTGATCTAGCTGATAAGAAAAATAACTATTGATCATGCCTAAAAGTATGGATTTACCTGCAGTCCAGCAGCCTCTGCTATGTGCCTTTCTTCCATCTCCTGGATCTGCCTTTCCAGCGATTCGTTGGTGCCTCTCAGACTCTCGATTTCGATAGTTTTGGATTGGAGTTGTCTTCTGTAGTCATTGATCTCCTCTCTGCTGGCCCTGATCACCTCGGAGCTGCGAGATGCCTGCTCGCTCATGTTGGCGAATTTAGACTTGTACCACTCATCAGCAGACTGCAGGTTCTTGGCAGCCAAAGACTCATACTGGGATCGGATCTCTTTCAGAGCCGAAGTGAGGTCAGGCTTGGACATCTCCATCTCCACGGAGATCTGGGAGGCTTGAAGCATGGCCATCAGCTCTGTGACCTCCTCTTCATGGACCTTCCTCATGAAAGAGATCTCATCCAGCAGAGATTCCACCTTCTTCTCTAGGTCAAGTCTGGCCAAGGTGGCATCATCCACATCTTTCTTATGTGCCTTCAAAGCGTACTCGGTTTCTTCTCTCATCCTGATCTCATCCTCATACTTCCCCTTCAGCTTCTGCAGGTCATCTTCCAGGCTGTCCCTCTCAATGATCAGCTGGGCTTTCTCATTGTTCATGTCCTCCAGCTGGGAGCGGAGATCTTTGATCTCTTGCTGGTAGAGCTCCCCCAGCCTGGAGGGCTCAGACTGCCTTTGCCTCAAGGCGACCAGCTCGGTCTCCAGCACCTTGTTCTGCTGCTCTAAGTTACGGACCTTCTCGATGAACATGGCAAAGCGGTCATTGAGCCCCTGCATCTGCTCCTTCTCATTGGTGCGGATGATCTTGTATTCGTTGTTGAGGGCTGAAGTTTGGGTCAGGTCTAAGTTTTCTCCAGACACATAGCCTCCATGTCTAGGAGACCTCCTGTAGGAGGACACCGATGAGACATTGCTGCGGGACTGGGACTGGGACCTGTACCCACCAGACAGGCTGGTCCTAGAGGAACCAGTGCTGCCCCCGATGCGGCTGCTAGACCGAGGTGGGTCTCCAAAGATCTTCCTGTAGGAGGAGGAGAGGTAATGGTCTGAACTGAAGCTCATCTTGGAAGGCAGATGGGGGAGGGACACCTTCACCCAGCCTTTTATACTGCCAGGCACGATCAATAGCCGGGGAAGAAAAAAGCCTTCACTTTGCTTGCAGCACCATGGGAGTTTAACCTCTTCCTGGATGGATAGCTGTCATTTTAGCATGTGCTGTAGATGCTTTGTGACCCGCCGGGGATGCCACCGATGGAAATCAGGAGAGAAGTCAAGGCTTCAGTGTTCTCAGATGGAACTGTCCATTTTGCCGCAGTGCTGATGTCAGCGATCCTGCGTGATTCCCTTTGCCTGGTGTAGGGGGTTCTCCCTAAGCTGCTTGTCACCTTGTCACCCTTCCAGATACAAAGAGGAAGCCAGCAAAGCGTTAACCACAAATCTACATAATAATAAAACAAGAAACGAATCCCTGGGGTTACATAAGCAGACCTCTCTGCCTTTAATCCCATAATTCTTTTTTTTAACTCCAGCAGAAATTCTCTTGTAAGCGTCTATCTAGTGATAAATCCAGATGGGAGGGAATCCTCTGCCAAGTGATGGCTTACAGAGTATTATTAGTCAGCCTTTCCATTTTCAGCACATCGGATCTGATCTCCTTGTAATGGCCCATTGCTTTAAAGGGAAAGTAAAGTGTATTTGTTGTGAGCACATAGTTTGCAGTGTTTACCTTAAATAAAAACTAATATGAAAACTTTTTTTTTTCATTCTGGATAAGGTAAAGGGAGGGTTATAACCCCTGTCAGTTTTTTTCCATGCCATCTGCGTCCCATTGGGGGTATTCCCCTTCCTTCCTGACACATATCCAAAGCAGGAAAAGAGGAGAAATATCTCCAAAGTGGGGAAATCCCTGGTTGTCACTGGAACTAGTGTCCCCAGTGGATGATTTCCCTGCCTGTTCTGGTGACAACCCAAAATGTGGTATTTTCTTTCACTTTCACACAATGATAATTGTAAACAGGACAAATGTACTGGGGGAATCTCCCTAATTTGGACAGCAATAAAAACCCAGCAGAGGTTCTAATCCCTCTCCACCCTAGCAAAAAGTTAATAAAAAAGTTTGAATTTTAGTTATACTTTTAATCACTTAAAGTGTTACTAAACCCAGGACCCTGCATTCACTATATCTGGTCTCCCACAGTACACAGAACATGGAAATGCAATTATTTTAGTAAATATAAACTGCTAAATACCTTTTCTAATCAGAAGTTAGAGCAGTCTTGTGACTTCTATCAGTGTCCAGCCAAGCACTGGTTGAAGCTTGTAAGAGGAGTTTTTATTCTCCTCTGACTGTCCTATGAGGCAGCATGACCCCTGACCCTCTGTCTGGACAGTGCTGTTTGGCCATGTGCCAATCACATGCCCCCCCCAAAAAAAAAGACTCTCTAGCAATACACACCAAAACTGAGTATGTTCAGAGTGCCTCCTAGGGCTCTGTACTAACAGCAGATGTATTGGGGACTGTGGAAGAAGGGGAGGAACAGAGAAGAAAGGATCAAACTGCCTTTTTACGCAATGCAGATGATTAACGCCTTAGGTTCCACAGTGAGTATAACAAGCATGCTTTACTGCATATACAGACTGATTTTACTGTTGTGGGTTTAGTAACACTTTAAGCTCCAGAAGGTTTTACCCCTTCATGGCCAGGGCATTTTTTGCTATTCGGCACTGTGCTACTTTAACTGGTAGTTGTGCGGTCATGCAACACTGTACACAAATGAAATTTATCTCATTTTTCTACACAAATAGGGCTTTCTTTTGGTGATATTTGATCATTAGCTTATTTTTATTTTTCATTATATAAACGGAAAAGACAAAATATGTTGAAAAAAAAAGTTCAACTTTCTGCTATAAAACATATCCAATAAATAAAATTTCTTAATGAATTTAGGCTAAAATGTATTCTGCTACATGTCTTAGGTAAAAAAAATCCCAATAAGTGTGTATTGATTGGTTTGTGTGAAAATTATAGTGTCTACAAACTATGGGATATATAAGGGAAAATTGATCAATCCTGATGTACTGACAGCTCATTTAAGGCCCTAAAATGCCAGGACAGTACAATTACCACCAAAATTAGCTCTATTTGAAAAGTAGACAGTCTAAGGTATTTAGTAAGATGCAGTTTTTTGAAGATGTAATTTTTTTCACAATTGTTTGGAAAATGAAGAAATTAAATAACATTTTGTTTTTTCACAATTTTTTTGTACACACTATCACCAGTGCAGTACAGTGTCATCATATGACTAGAATGGTGGTGATTAGGGATATTGACTGATGAAAGCATGTAAAAAGAACAAAAAGATAAAACAAATAAAAAATTTTGTATTCAAATTTTTGACTTTTTTTTTTAACATCTTTTAATTGTTTTTAACCTTTTTTATTTCACCTGTCATAAGAGTAGCTCAGTGTCCCCATAGTGACACTGTACTACTCTGGGGGTGACCAGGGTTGTTTTTTTTTTACACTTTTATTGCTTATGCAGTGAAGATCACTGTATAAGCAATAGCTTTAGCTGTCATGAATGGGTTAAACATTCATGAACAGCTTGCTTTTGGTCGTGATTTGTGATTAGCTAAGCTAATCACATGGTACAGGTAGCCAGTTACCATGTGATTGCTGTGGGCCATTCACAGATCACAATAGTAAACAAGCTGGTAATGAATGGAAAGCCATTAATGACAGGTTGTTTTCATTTTTATCATGTGATCGTTATAAGCAATCATTACATAGTTACATAGTTGGTAAGGTTGAATAAAGACACCAGTCCATCCAGTTCAACCTATGTGGATGTGTGCGTGCTTACGTAAAAAAAAATCATATCCTGGGGGCGTGGCCTGGAGAAGAATGGCATAGGGTGCATTTCTGGGAGTTCTGCCTGAGACTCATCCGTTTTAGCTGATCCTGCATGATATCCTGCTCATACTCACACCCAATACTCTTGCTAAGCTTTTCTTTACCCTCTTGGACTGTGTCCTCGCCAAAAAAAGTTGCTGACGCTAGCAGTAAACTTGATAATTTTTGCCATAAGGAGAAGGACACCGTGGGAGAAGATGACGCCGTGGCCTCCACCGCGGGAGAACCAGTGAAGTCTGACACTAACAAGGTATTGGTGGAAATCTCTACCTCCCAGAGCACCCTGACCTGCAAGATTGAAGAAGTGAAAATTGATATCTCCCTTATTCGGCAAGATCTACAAAAGCTCCGGGAGCGGGTTATGGAGGCAGAAGCATAGCTTAGTCATGTAGAGGATGATTTGCCACCATGACAGGTTACTACTGAATGCATGCAACATCAGCTCCATACAGTGCTGCAGAAACAACACGACACGGAAAACAGGCTTCGCAGGTGCAACCTTCGGTTCATTGGTTTGCCCGAGGGTGTGGAGGGATTGGAACCGGCTACTTTCTTGGAGTCTTTGCTCAGTATTACCTATGGCAGGGAGGCGTCCTCCCCTTCTTTCGTGGTGGAGCACGCCCATAGCCTGGCCTCTAGGCCTCCATCAAAGGGTGCACTGCCACGCACGCTTATTGCCAAATTTCTGAACTATCGTGACCAAGACACTATCCTTCGCCTCACCAGGGAAAAGGGGAGTATCCCGTACCAGAATGTCAGGATTGCAGTTTTTCCAGACTTCTCGGCTGAGGTGCAAAAACGTTGGGCGCAATTTGTGGAGGCCAAGCGCCAACATTGGATTCATCATGTTTCCTATGCTATGCTGTTTCCTGCTAGACTCCGAGTCGTGGGGAATGACAAGGTTCACTTTTTGGAAGACCCAGAGTCAGTTCTGATCTGGCTGGACCAGCGAACAGCAGCGGGCCCTGCACCGGCCTGACTTCTGTGGACATTTTAATAGAACTGTGCTTCACCTCTCCCCATCCCGGTGCTTCGTGAGTGTATCCAGATGACTTTGGCTCCCCTGTTATCCTTCACCAAACAATCCAGCTTTTCCACCCTTATTTATATTTATATAGTTATATATTTTCTAGTATGCAAAATCCCCCCCCCCTTTTTTTTTTCTTTTTTTCCTCTTTGCTGCTTCCCCCCTCCAGACATTAATACTTATTTCTCTCCCTCCTTCTCCCTATCCTCCTTTCTTTGCTCTTGCTTCATTTTTTCAGTTTCAGCTCTTATTTACCCTTATTTTGTCCTCCTTGTGAGTCTTGGGCCCCTCCTTCCTAGATGTCCAGTGGCTTCTCCCCCTGCCCAATTTCTTTCTCCTATGTTCTCCTTTTCCCCTTTATTTTCTATCTATTTCTTCCCTATGTCCATCTTCCTTTCTCTTCTTCTCCCCCCCTCCCTTCCCCTCCTTTGCCCTCTTGCTCCCTTTCCTTTCTTTCTCTTCTGCTTTCTCGTATTTCCCACTCTTCCCTTTTCTTCTCCCTCCTCCTTTTCCTCTTTATGTCTTCCTCTCTTTCATCTCTCTCCCTCTTGTCTCTCTCTTTTCTTTTTTCCTCTTCACCTCTTCATTTCCCACTGGCCTTATCCTGCTTTATCTACCTTGTCACTGGGACATCTGACACCCTGGGCTATGTACCGATTTTCAGCGGATTGCTCGCTCCCATAGTACTTGACACTCCCTCCATGTGCGCTGGATTTTGTAGTTGCCTTTTGTTCACAGAGTCCAGTTTGAGGTGGAGTTCTGTCAATTTTTGTTTACTATTTTTATATATTTCAATTTATGTGTTGTTTCCCTGGCCAGTTGGAGCGGGGCATATTGCCCATTCCCTATATTTCTACTGCCCTCTCCACACTAGTCCAGAGTATGTAGCTTATTTTGTTACTCTGGTTACTTGTTTCTGCTAATATTGTATTGTGTTTGCAAACTGGAGAAGAATGTGATGTTGTCTGTTGCTAGCTCTATGGTATTTATGTATGTTATGCTTATGGCTTCTCTGACTATGTCCCAAATGAGTGCATACCTGTATCTTGTATTAACTTTGGATTGGGCATTTGTTCCTCTGGGCTCTATGTCTTGGCGCAACCCCATTGTGTTATATGCTCTG